AAGTGCCCCCTCAAAACTCAGAGATATGGTGGCTTAGAACACAGTCAGATACAAGCTCGCTCCAAATGGCTATGGCGCATCAGCGCATGAACAACTCTCTGTTTGTCACTGTACGCAACTCCACTGTCCACACACTCAATTTAGGATCACCCTAGATATCCCACAGGCGACACTCTGTACACACATACACACACACACACGCTACACTCTCCTAACAGCTATGGCGGCTATGGCTGCTACTACCCTTATCGCTATGACTAAACTCTCCTTCTCGCCCACTTCGTCTTCGGGCTCACTCCAGACCACCTCGCACAAGTCGCTGTGGCAGCACTTCCGCATGGCTCACGCAGAAATGAATCAATGGCTGGGCGCTGCCTCTTGATTTATACTTCTGAAGCTCGTTGGTCTGGCCCTTTCCCGTGCCCTGGGTACACAGTCCCATACGGTACTTGCTTGACTGGACTAGGACTGACTGGGACTGGGACTGCTGACTCAGCACGGGTAGACTCCACCACTTGCCCACTTGCCTCAGTCTAAACGTGAGCAGCTTCGAAAGTCCACTACTAGGACCTTCCAGAACTCTTGGTCCTGGCCTTTCGAAGACTGTAGCAGCTACGACCTTGACCTTTCAGGACTGTAGCTGCTACGACCTTGACCCTTCAGAAGTTCTACAGCAACGACTTCTAGAACTCCCTAAGACTTCTACCCGACAGGTCTGCAGATCGAACCCCTACACCTACAGACCCTACAACAGCCTACCAACTCCTGCGAACACACACAGGTCACGGGTTCGACTCTGAGGGTCGACACAGGTACTGTGCACAGGTAAGGTGAGAACTAGGGATCGAGCCCTGGGATCTGCATTCGCTACTGCTGACAGGTGAAAACCGTTTCACAACACAGTAAGGAAAAACAAAACAACTGTACTTTGTTTGGTTCCAGGTTCGAATCCTGGCAGAGCACACACAACAAACACTTCAACTACATCAAATACTTGGGCATGTTGTGGGTTCAAACCCCGCAATCCTAACACTCTCTGTCAATTGACTGCCTTGAAGAGGTCTAGGTCATTTGGTAAGTCACCAGATTAACGGGGAATGGGTTTAAGTACGTTTGGCCTCACGTGGGCGATGCTGTGTGCTCTGTGGCTTACCATCTGGAGACAAGTGATTGGCTTCGTCAGCCGGCAGTAGCAGGACCTTGGCCAACATCATTGGCCATCGGACACCATCGATGCAGTTCTGATGCGAGGAGAATAGTTCTCGTGTGAGGAAAATAGGTGGAGTGACTGGTGCTGGTGCCGTCCGTTGGCTCCCCCAGCGGCATCGCCCGCCCAGTCCTATGTTAGTATGATGTATGTACAGCTTTGGTCTTGCAACACAACTATGGTGCAAACGCCGCTTGGGTTAGCAACAGGTCAGAGCTGGTGGCTGTTCCCTCTTGGTTAGTGCATGTACAAGACAGGAGATGAAAGAGATGATGCAGAAAGAGGTGAAGTGACAAAGGGAAGAGAAAAGAAAAAGAAAAAGGTGCTCTAATGTGCTGGCAGATAAGAGCTTTCTCTGCAAAACCCCTACGTTTCATCCAATTTGCAACCTCTGAAGTCCTGTTTGAGCAAAGACCCTTTTGTGTTACGAGGACCCATGCCTACCGCTAGGAATCCGTAGAAGACTGGAACTACATTTCTGGAATGATCCCAGTCAAGATCCATAGGCAAGGCCACTTTAGGGCATCCTCAGACTTGGGCTTGCCAGACTGAATCTGGCTGCAGTTCTCGTCAGACATCCCGGAAAGATCGGGTGTGTCTCCTAGCACCGGAAACCCTCTTTTTGTAAACGGTATTGAAACTAACTGCCAAAATGGAGTCGGAGGGTGTCAAGCCCTTGATGAGGCCTATGACAGGGCTGCTCAAGGATCGGCTCTCGGAGAGGACCAATAGAGTGCAAGACGGCGCCGTGACTGGCTGGGCCCAACACATGGCTCAGTAGGCTTGCACCATTTCTTTTCTGACCCAAGTTTTTGCTTTCTGCCCATTGGGCCAAATAGCTGAATTTTCTGTGTGCCGCAGAGGGCCACATAACACCCAAATTGTTTTGGGCCAAGAAAAGCCGCCAGCCAAAAAGGGTCGTGCAGCAAACAGAATGCCTTACATCATGACAATATTTTGACCGGAATAGTGTGTATATGTTCATGATGATGGGACTCGCACTGCCCAATTTGTTTGTGCACCATGAAGCGCCGTGTGAAGCCTTGATTGCTTTGTTTTTGGCCCTCAAACGTCGGGCCTCAAATACTGCCCCAGATCATGACTGTATACATGCCAGAAGAGGGTCTGTATATTTCCCTGATGATGCTCGGATTCCTTGTGGCTGCAGAGGCTGGGCTGCACTGCTGGTGATGATGACAATGATGAGCGGTAAGCAATGACGACAATATTGTTGATGATGCTGAGGCATAGGTGACAATGATGACAAGGAGTTGAAGGACACAAATGAGATGATGGCAGGGCTGACAACTAGGACGGTGATGATGGTGTAGGTGACAATGACGCCAATGATGAGGATGAGGATGAGGATGATGATGGTGACTCTGTAGGTGATGATGATGAAGACTGATGATATGATGAGAATGACAATGACAATGACAAGAAGGATGAAGATGATGCGCTTATGGCGGTGATGACAATGATGGTGATCGTGACGCCTGAAGAGTTTAAGATGGTCATGCTGATGGTAATGCGATGCTCATGCTGGTCATGACGATGATCATGATGATAGCTGTGCTGGATTAATCAAATACTGGACATGGTGTGGGACTGATGATTAATCAAATATTGGCCAGCTTTTTCTTTGCTGTTGAAGTTACACGCACACACACACACACACACACACACACACACACACACAGAGAGAGAGAGAGAGAGAGAGAGAGAGAGAGAGAGAGAGAGAGAGAGAGAG